TGAAACTCTGAAAATTATGGAGAGAAAATTTTTTGCCTTTGAAACTTCAAAGGAAAATATTACTATGTGAAATTAATATGGTTTCTAGGCCAAAATGTTCCACCTAAAGAGTTACATATAAGGGCAGTAGTGACTTAAATTTGTTTTTTTTTCAATTTCTATTGAAATGTCTCCCCCCCCCCCCACATAAGAAAATTGCATTCAAAATCAATCATTATATCATTATACCATATGTACTGGAATTTTTATTCAAATATTCGGAAGAGTATAGGGACATTCAGTATGGTATAACTCTTGCAAAACGTATGGTATGGTATTGTATAAGTGTAATAAAATGGTTGTATACCAACACATACTTCCCTTCACACCCACCAAAAAAGGATTTAGAATAAAATTTTGTGTGACTTGGTACGGAAAAATATGAGCTATACATACCATACCATACATTCTGCAAGAGCTATACCATACTGAATCTCTCCCTACCGTATTTGGAAATGTGAATAACTTTTCAAAAAAGGTAGTTTGATTTCTTTTATAGGTATATAAGATGACTATTAATAGAAAATAATTTGGGCCTATGAAAAATTAATTTTGCCCAGTGTTTTGGAAATTTTGGCTACTAAGAGGGTAGTTTCGACCAGAAACCTTAGTTGCAACCATCATCAAAAGTTGTGACCTGCATCTATAATTTGCACTTCTGCTTGCTTCTTAGTAAGACTTTCCTACTTTGCTTATGTATTGGTAAGACTTGATTAACGAAATGGCTAATGATTACTAGTTGGCCTTATTATTAATCTCGTCTTGATTATTTAGCTTCCTTTAGTCAATAATGGTGCCCTTTCAGTAACAAGTTTAAATCAAAGTTTGTTTTAATATTAAAAAAATAAATGTTTTATTACAAACGGAAAATGATTTATGAGTAATTTTATTAAGAGATTTTTTTATGAGAAGATTATTCTGAGATTATTCAACCTCATGTCTTTAACTCTCAAAAATTATACATGTATTTATACCTTCGATGGTACTACAAATTATATGACTTTTGCATAATTTTGTCCAATAAAATATAATAATAATAAAGATAAAATGATGCCTCCAATGATATAAACATTGATTAGTAATATATATCAGAGGGTGTAAATATTTATAAAAATGATAACATAATGATTACTCATGTTCAATACCAAGTTTTTCTAAGAATTTCTACAACAAATTCTTGCAGGCATTATATAAATGGTCGCTAAACTTCACATAGAGGTTGGAATCGTCCAAAAAAATCCTTAGTCAACTATTTTGGTCGATTAATTTTTTTTTTTTTTTAATTTACAAATTATGAATTTTTCAAAATACTCCTACACAAAACCATGTGTTACGATTTATTTTTTAAAGAATTTCTAGAACCGCTCCCTATTACTATAAAAAATTATTGACGGAAAACATACGGAAATGTACGAAAAAACGGTATATGAACCGTATTGTTTTACGGAATAAGTACGGAACAATGCACCGTAAATGTACGGAATTTGTGCAGAATGGGTACAGGATAGGTACTGAATGCATACGAAACACGCACGGAATGCACCCGGTTTTACGGAAAACACGTGGAATTCGTTTTTCTCGTACGTTTCATGTATGGATTACGTGATGTGTTAATATGAAACTCGTGCGGAAAACATACGAGAAAAATGAATTCCGTATGTTTTCCGTAAAAACCGTGTGTATTCAGTGCGTGTTTCGTATGCATTTGTACCTATCCCGCACAGATTCCGTACATTTCGATGCATTTAACGGGAAGATTCCGTAAAACAATACGGTTCATATACTGTTTTTTCATATGTTATTTTTTATAATAATAGGGACTGCTTAAATCATTGGACCTTGTACCAGAAATGTTATTAGTTCACATGTAAAATTATCATCAAAAACACCACCACCATTGCCATCATCATCATATTGATATATAGCATTGTTACTCCTCCGCACAGAAATTTTCTATAAATTTTTTTATATTACAAAAATCATTTTTATTTATAATTGGTCAGACAATAATTATTAATATTAATATTAGCATAGTATTAATATTAGTAATAGTAGTCGTAACTAAAATAGTCTGGGATTCCGGTGCAGATCATTTATACTCAAAAGTTCAAAAGTTAAAATTTTGAAATATTATATGATCCACACATTGGATTTTAAAAAACTTGCCACCATTCAATTTAGCTTTAAAAGGGGACTCTATTAATCTGAAAAAAAATTTTGTCTCAAATTTTCTTTTCATAGATTTTTTAAATTTGAAAGTTATGCTCTGAAGTGCAACAATAATTTTCGTGTTAATATTTTGAATCTCACGACCAAATTTGATAATGATTTTTTTTTAATGTAATATGTTCATTAAACTTTTCTGTTGTAAAGAACTTTTATTTATTAATAAAAAAAAGGAAATAAATAAGTCAAATAAATCAAATGTATCTTGTAGAAAATATTCTATGAAAAAAGCTGTCACACGAAATTTACTTAGTCTCAATTTCTTAAGTGTATAACAAAATTCGGAATTTTCAAAATGCTAGGGCTCAGCTAATTTTGAATTTAAGAAAAAACCAGCTGATAAGTTTTGAAGCTTGAGTCATGAGCAATAAAACTTATCGGTTAAATTTTTTAAAATGATATAAATTTTTTTTGTTTTAGTATTTTGAAGTTGACCAATTGTTACTATAAGCAATTAATGATTATAGATGATCTGCACCGTTAACTCATTTGCAACATACGAAAATTTGGTTTCCATATTTGGAAATCTCCCTGACTGTACCACCCTTCATAATTTACTGGAGAAGCATAAAAAATATAAAAAAAATAGCGCCAAATGTAAGTTTGAAACTTGCTCCATCACTTGTATATAACGTCATTTAATTTTTTAGTAAACAAAAAAAAACCATGATTAGCTTTATTTGATAATTATGAATGAGAGATATTTATTTGTTTATTATTATTATTTCTATTTATATATATTAATATGACTATATATATATATACATAGGGTTCAAGTGACTAACGTACTCGGGTACAACATGTGTGGAGAAAATGAGGACCTGGCCCATACGACAAACCAAAACAAACAAGACAAAAACAATTTTTTAAAATGTCCAACTTGTTTATATCTTTAAAAAATTTTAACGAATTACTTATTGACCTTGGAAATTTTCATGAAGATGCTTCTCCGTTAAAATATGTTGGCAAACTTGTAAATGATTTCACAAAGCTTTTAAAAGAGTTCGATTTTCACGATATGGAAATTACAGCCGGAAAGGGTCATAATTTTAAAATTTTCAAAGCTCATTCTATCATTTTAAGAAAAAGATCGCCTTATTTTGATGTAGCATTGTCAAGTAGTTGGGAAAGAAAATCCAGCAATGGAATTATTATATTCGAAAAGAAAAATATTTCACCAAGAGTATTTGAAATAATTTTAGAGTAGGTTCAATTTTTGTTGTTATTGTTGTTGTTGTTATTGCTGTTATTACTATTATCATTATATTCATATTTTTATTGTTGATCATAAAGGTATATTTATAGTGGAATCCTCAATATAAATAATCTTCATCCACTCGAGATTATTGAATTGATTGAAGCATGTGATGAGTTATGCTTGAATGAAATAATTGATGACTTGAATGATTATTTGATTAAAGAACATAAAAGATGGATTCAACAAAATCTAATTTATGTTTACATGATTTCACAACAAAATTTATTTACCTTTGCACAGAATTATTGTAACAAACTGATTAGCGAGGATCCAGCGTTTTTTTTTAAATCTGATGATTTTACAAATATCGATAAATCAACGCTTATGTCTTTCTTAAAAATGGATGATTTGGCTCTAAATGAAATAGAGATTTGGGATCATGTTGTTCAGTGGGGCATTGCTCAAGATATTGAATTGGAAGAAAAACATTTTTCTAAATGGAATGAATGGAACGAAAACGATTTGATCAAATTAAAGGTGATATTAGATGATTTGATTCCATTGATAAGATTCAATGAAATTACTATTGATGATTTTAATAAAAAAATCAAACACATGAAAAAGATCATTAACGAAGATTTATATAAAGAAATCCTTGAACATCATCATCATCTTGCTATTGATGATGGACCAAAATTAATGCTCCAAAAAAACCCAAGATCAAAAACTTTATTAAATTCAGAATTCAGATGTCTTATTTCTAGTTGGATTGACAATCAAAATGCAAACATTTACAATGAAAATAATATTCCTTACAAATTCAAGTTGATACTTCGTGGATCTCGTGATAATATTTCTAGATCAATGTTTGATCGTGAATTTGGTCATATTGAACAAACCCTTGTCGTAACGAAAATTCAAGGTACACATGAATTGATTGGCGGATATAATCCTGTTGGTTGGAGTTTAAAACGCAAATGTCCAAATGGAAATTATTATATTGAAACAGATAAAAGTTTTATTTTTAAGATTGATAAAACGTGGAGGCGTGAAACAAAATTAAGTAGAGTTCAAAATCCTAGTGAAGCAATATATATACATGGTAACGATCAAACCGTATATATAGATTTTAATGCTTTGAGTATCAAAAAAAAGCTAGGTAAATTTTGTTGTCAATTTAGTGACAGTGACAATAATGCATATGAAAAAGTCTTGAGATTCAAAGAGGGAGTTTCTTTTACAGAAGAAATTGAATTCTTTCAAATATTAAAAAAATAGATTAATTTTTATAGAGATCAATGTATTTATTAATAATTCATTCATTATATTTTATTTATATGATCTAAATAATTTTTATATACACGCAGAATTCTATCCATCCTTTTCGTTCAGAAATCTTTTTGATCATAAAATAAAATTATCCATTTTATTTTTTACACAATTTTATTATTATAAAATGTTTGATAAAAATAAATGAAAATTGATCTATCCAAAAATTATAAATAAATATATTAAATATATAACTGATTACAAAATCCTATGAAACAAAACTGTTGAACTTTGAACGCGAAAGATGCCCGGCAGACTCATTACACGAATCACAAACACGATGGTATTGTGATGATGCGGATGAGTCATTAGGAACAGAGGGATCATATAATGCTTGTAAAGGAGACATAAAAACTCGAGCAGACGAACATTTGTCACAAAAAACTTGTCCACATCGTCTAAAATATTTTTTTCAAAGAAAAGAAATCAACAATCAGTTAGTCAACAAACTTTTAAGCAAAATAAATAACAATAGTGACTAAAATAATATCATTATATACCTGCAATGATGTTTTCTAATCCAAAAATTAAATTTCTTTTGGCATTGACGACACTCTTGTACATTTTCATCATTTTCCCATTTTGGGTGTTTAAGGGTGCTTGCAGGAACATTTGTAGTATTTAAACCTATCTTTGGATATGCTCTGTTAGGTGTTACCATTCCTGGTATATTACAAAATGAAGAATTTTGAAAATTTAATTAGTCTAAAATTTCAAACCACAAGGATTTATTATATGTACATGTGTGCGTGTATTACCATTATTTGTAATATCGCTGTTTGGATTTTTTATTTCTAATCCAAGTTTATTACGAGATGATGCAATTTGAACACCGTTGTCATTTTTTGTCAAACCTTCTAAACCTTCAGCATGTTGTATAAGAGCAGCCATAATTGAATTGGCCTCTTGTTTTTTTTGAGTATTTATTTCGGCTAGATATGTAATAATTTATTTATTTATCGATTATCATTTAAATTTAATAAAGTAAAAAATAATGATCCCGTCATTTTATGAAAACATAACAAACATTTAATTCCAATTTGTAAAATCCTTATTGCTTCTTTATAAGCTGCAACCTGCCCATATGGGTCATCTTTTCTTCCTTTTTTGTTATTTTGATAAGTTTGAATTATCATTTCAGCTTGTTCGATATAGTTCAAATCATACAACTGAGATTCTTTAGTGAAGTGTAGTCCACTGTCGCTAAGACTCATTCGGCGTTTCATCACACGAGCCCATCGTCTTCTTCTTACCCAGTTGTTGGCATTTGGAGGTGGATAAGCGGTCCATTCTGAAACAGGTTCATTAAAACTTTTAGCATATTGCCATCCTTCCTCATCTACATGTGGATAAGACATATCTATTTGCCATTCATCCACCCAAAACCATTGTCTATTCTGTAATTTTGTAGTGGTTGCATTAGAAATTATTGATATCGATGAAGAATTAGGTCCAACAGGAAGTTTTACATCCTCTTTGGATGATGGTTGACCGCTAGGATGAAGAGACCAAGCTACACGATTATCAGTTTTCAAAAGATTTGCTGCTGAATATTTTGGTGGTCCACGGAGTGCCATTGGAAAAACCGAAGATGCTCTTTGGTTTTCATGAAGAATGATTGGTACAGATATATGAAAAGTAAAAACGTCATATGGCTGATTGATTGGTGGTAAAGATATTTCGAGATCTCTAAAAGATTTGGCTAATGTATTTCGGTTCAAGGGGATTTTAAAAAAAAATTAAAAAAAAAGATTAAATTGTAAATTCTAAAAAAAAAATTCATTATATACGTTCAGGGATTGGTCTTCCTCCTTTCCACCAGTCACGTTCAGCTTTTTCTAACAATTCGCAAATATAAACTTCATTGCTTGTTGCTGCTGCATCATAAGCAGTTTCTCCAAAACTGTTTTTGATAAAAGGATTGGCATCGGCATAATTTAAGAGATATTCGACTATATCAATATGTCCCTTTGATGCAACATTCACTGATATTTTTTATTTATATATATATAAATTAGAGAATAAATACTCGTTAAAATATTGCAACCATCATCATCATAAAATTATGGATTAAAAAACACTTACTTAAAGGTGTGATATTTCTATTATTTTCAACATCAACATCAGCTTTAGCATACTCTATCAAATACCTGACTATATAATAATGTCCTTGTGCAGATGCATTATGTAATGCAGTCCATCCATCATTATCTTTTTGTGAAACATTTGCATCTTTTTGTAAAAGATAATCGACAACCGATGTATGACCATTATAAGAGGCTTTTAAAAGAGCAGTCTGTAGGTTTATTGAATGATTGAATTAATGAGTTAATTATCGAATCATCGTGTTAATTATCGAATGAATTATTGAATAAATAAATGTAGTTTTAAAATTTTAAATTAAATTTATCTTACTTCGCCAGTCTGATCTTCTAAATCAACAATGGCACCAGCACTTTCTACTAGCCACTTAACAACATCCAAGTGACCACGTGATGCAGCATAATGAAGTGGTGTTAAACCTGAAGATGAATTTGCAATATTGGCACGCGAGAAATCTGTAACTTTCCCACCAGAACCTTTTGGCGCTAAAATTTCTTTGACCCTTGCTAAATGACCACTAGAGGTTGCTTCATAAATACTCATATTTTCTGAATCCCTAGAGTAACGATAGGTACTGTTGTTTATAGAACTTGGGGGAAGTTTAACTTGTTTAAAATGAATATTTCCATAATATTTATGAATTTCTCCTGGAATTGGAGGGTAAACAGAATCAGGAACTTTTGCCACGGGTGATGAAAGCATTTTTTTTTTTTTTTTTTTGAATTAAAAGAGAAAAAAAAATGATTTGATTTGACCAGTTAAATACCGAATTCTGTGTAATGTAAATCATGAATTTCATTGATTGATGCATTATGAAATTCTCTTTTTATTATTATAGTAATGATCATGTTTTGTTTTTCAAGGAATATTCCAATTCAGTTGATAGAGATCTTCAAGGAAAACTCTAATGAACACTATTATTCTAAAATACTTAAAAAAAAGAATGAAGGCGACCGCAACGAGTGCGAAATCCTATTACTATTATAAAATCCCGAAATTCTGATAAAATTTTAGAATGTCTGATAATAATAATAGTAATAGTAATAGTAATACACTCGTAAAAACCCGATAAGTCGAACGCAGCAATCAATTGTTTAAAGTAATCGGTAATATAAATAAATGACAATAATAATATTTTAGGTTTCCGGTTACACGTAGATTTTTGGGAAATTTTAATTTGATGATCATTGTTTTTTTGTTGTTATACATTCTATTTTTCGATCGGTGAATACCTGATTGGACAACTTTATTATTATCTAATTAATTGGATATCATTCAAATAAGTTATATGTATACGTCCGATTGTTTTTTATTTATTGTCATTATTATCATGGAAAAACACGGAAATGTATATTTATTAATATAAATGGGAGTTTAATAATGGAAAAACATTGAGACCACAGAGTAAAGTTTTTACAGGAAAGGTTATTTTCTTGGCGAAGAAACAAAGGATTAGTTTTAAATTCTTGTTTACATTTTGTAAAAGGATTTAAGTGTTTGAGTGTAAATGTAACGTGTTAAGTTGTTTGACAAAGTATAAGGTGTTAACAGTTAACCAAATGTAAAATGCAGACATTTATTGTTAACACATTTTGTTATTTGTGTTAAAGTAATTGTTGTAAACATATAGCTGTTAAATAAGCAATTTAGGGAGTCTTGTAAAGAGACCAAAGGAACTTTAGAAAAGCACCACCACTTTATAAAAGGGCCACATTTATTGAATGATTGTAAATCATACCATAAAATGTACTTACAAATTTGCCAATGCTTTCCAAGTACAAAAAGAGGCAATAAGCAAGAAAATAAATTTGTAAATAACTTAATTGATGAGTATGGAATATGAAAGCTTGCAATTAATCAATGAGTGTAGCTCAAAAGTTAATTCAATCTCGGCTATAAACAATCAGCATTAACCAAAAAGTTGCTTTGCAATATGTGACAAATATTTTTAATATTAATTGGTTCTAAAATTTTATTAGTAATAGGTACTCAAGTCTCAAACTTTTATATATTACGTGCATTAGAATTCTAGTGATTTAATATATATAAAAATAAATGCCACAGGATGTCGATCAAATAGATTTGGCCCATATGAAAAAATCTCTGTAGCCACAAATAAAAATTGACCAACTTTAAAACCTAAAAAGAAAATATTGTGTGCTTATCAAAAAATTATTGAGACGATATTTATCGAGTAAACCGACTTATCGAATTAAATTACTTAAATATTAAGAAAATGGGGTGAAAATTTTGGCCGACTTATCGAGTTTATATATGTATATATGTGATTTTGGCACACCTTAAGTCGCACGTAAAATAAATTTTTTAATTCTGGTGAATCATGCAATATAATTCATCCATAAAATTAAAAAAAATCTTAAAAAATTTCACGCGTTTTTTTTTTTAATAATCATTGCATTAAATTTATGAATATAAAATAATCCCATACAAATTTTTTTGTTTAAAGTTTCTCTTGAAGGACGAGAGGCATTCATTTTACCGACAACACGCGGCGCCATTTAACCTCCACATAATCAAACAACAAATAAAATGCTAAAATAACGCGCCGCGTGTTGTCGGTAAAATGAACTGTCGGTAAAATAATTGTCGGTAAAGTAATACGTACCCGTGCTAGACATATCTTAGCAACCCAAGATGATTTTAAAAACTAAAAACCCTTAATTCGAGAATTAATTGAAGAAAGAGGTAAGGCTCCGAACGAATCGAATCGAATCGAATTTGAGAGTGATTCGATTCGATTCGAATTCAAAAAAACAGGATTCGATTTGATTCGTGACTCGATTCGAATTGATTCGAATCAAACCGGATTCCTAAAAATTTTTTAACGTCATATTAAATTTATATTTTTAATTTGATAATTTAAATTTATATTACACAGTGAATCTCAATTAGTG